CCGCCGCTGCTGCTGCTGCTTTTGATCGAGTTTGCGCTGCTGCGGCGGGGAATGCTGCCGGTCGCGGCGCCAGTTATGTTGCTGCTGTTCTTTGGGCTGCTGCTGCTGCTGCTGATGCTGCTGCGGCAGGTCGAGCTGCTGCGGTGGTTCATGGCCATGCTGCTGCTGATGCCGCTTTTCTTCGTGCTGCTGTTTCTGTGTTTGGTTCTGCTGGTGCTGGCCCTTTGCGGCTGCACTTTTGTGTCCTTGGCTTCTCTGTGTTTGCTGCTGCTGCAGCAGCTGGCAACGCCTGAGCTGCTGCAGCAGCTAAGTGCCCATGTGCAGCGGCTGCTGCGCCGTTGTCGCTTCCCAGTGCGGGACTTGGCGGTGCTGCTTCAGGGCTTTGCTGCAGCAGGGCATGCAGACCCGCTGCTGTTTGCTTCTGCTGCAGGTAATCTGCTGCTGCTTCTGCTGCTGTTGCTTCTGCTGCTATTGCGTGCCCGTTGCACCCGAATTGCATGCAGCGGATTCGCGCGACTCTCCGCGTGGTCGCTGCAGCAGCTGCAGCAGCAGCAACCCCACGCAAAGCAGCAGCAGCTGCAACAGCTGCTGCAGCAGCTGCAGCAGCAGCGACCCCGAGTGCAGCAGCAGCAGCAGCAGCCACATGCAGCTTTGTTGTGATTTTTGTTTGTCAGATGCTGCGATGAAGGGCCTGGCGGAGGCAACAGCGGTGGACACCGGCAGGCTGTTGCAGGCTTTTGCTGCTGCTGCAGCGCAGCAAACTTCTGCCCTCGCGAAGCTGGCTGCTGCTGCAGTGGCGCCGCAGGCGCAGGCAGCAGCTGCTGCAGCAGGCGCAGCAGCCCTTACGCCTGCCGCTGACCCCAGCAGCAACAGCAGCAACAGCAACAACAGCAGCAGCAGCAGCAGCAGCAGCAGCAGCACCGAGGAGCCAGCTAGTGTGTTTGTGGCCGCTCACCGGCGGGTCTTCAAAGAGTGCGTGAAGGCGCTGGGAGACAGAGTCCTTTTTGCTGCTGCAGCAGAGCTGACAGCAGCAGCTCAAGCAGCAGGTTTGGCGCTGCTGCAGTCGCAGGGCGCGGAGGCCCAGGCCCTCATGGCGCTGCTGCAGCACATCAGGTCCGCACCCGCAGCTACCTAGCAGCTAGCTAGCAGCTAGTTAGCTAGCTAGCCAACATCTAGCTGGCTAGCTGTCTAGCTAGTTAGCCCTAGCTGGCGTCAGGCCAGCAGCCTCAGCTAGCTAGCTAGCGGTTGGCTAGCTAGCTGGTTAGTTAGCTAGCTAGCTTTTTAGCTAGCTGCCGGTTAGCTAACTAGCTAGCTAGCGAGCTAGTCAGTTAGCTAGCTAGCTAGCTAGCTATCACTGGCTAGCTGGCTAGCTATCACTGGCTAAGTGTCTGCACTCCATCTCAGCTGTACTCAGACACACCTATTTAAAAAGACACAAACAACAGCGAAAGCAGGGCTTGGGGTAACTGGGACTTTAAACAGCAATCAAGGTCCGCGCTGCTGTTGCTGCTGCTGCTACTGCTGCTGCAGGAGTGCTGCAGTGGGTTCTTTGGGGCTCTTTACTGCGCCTGCTTTGGCTGCTTTGCTGCACACTTTCGCGCGGTGGCGGCTGGAGTTTCCTCCTCGAGATCTTTTGAAAGTAATACGAAGATTGACGCAGCTGTCGAGTGCTGCAGCTCCTGCTGCTGCTGCTGCAGCGACGGCGGACCCTGCTGCTGCGGCGACAGACGTGCCGTGGCATCCTGTGTTTTCCCCTGCTGCTGCTGCAGCAGCTCTAGATAATATGACGCGGCTGAGCTGTCTGCACTCGCTGGGGGTGTTGATACGGCCTTTTGTTGCTGCTGCTGCTGCTGCTGCTGCGGGGGCGACAGCGCCAGCGCGCGTAAACAGCTGCAATGCAGAAGCAGCCCCATGGGGCGCTGCGTGCGGGGGCCATCGGCAACCCTCCGCAGCAGCAGCGGCAGCAGCAACAGCAGCAGTAGCAGCAGGGCGGGAAGGGAGCACGCAGTACGTGCGTCTGCCTGCTGCTGCTGCTGCTGCTGCGCCCGAGGCAGCAGAGGCCCTTGCTGCTGGGGATGCTTTATTTGGCGAGTGGATGGACTTTGTTTTAATTTCTTACGCGGCACAAATAAACAAAGCAAAAGAAATAAACAACAACAGGGGCCAGCAGCAGCAGCAGCAGCAGCAAAAGAACATTCAGCCTCTACTAAGGCTCGCAGAGACTCTCGCCAACTGCACGTGAGGCCCTTAAAAAGGCTTTAGGGTGTAGGGTTTAGGGTTTTGGGGTGTTGGCTGCTTGCTGCGCTTTTGCCCGCTCTTTGCTGCTGCCGTGGTCTTAGGGTTTAGGGTTTAGGGTTTAGGGTTTAGGGTTTAGGGTTTAGGATTTAGGGTTTAGGGTTTACTGCTCGTGGTCATGGGGTGCTGCTGCAGGCCCTTCGTACACCCTGGCGTCGCCACTGACCCGAGGATCCACGTGAGTTAATTTAGGTTTAGGGTTTAGGGTTTAGGGTTTAGGGTTAGGGTTTAGAGTTAGGGTTTAGGGTTTAGGGTTTAAGGCTTGCTTGCTCTGCGTGCAGAAGCTAAAGCGCAAGGTCCTCTTCATGTTCCAGCTGTGGCATGGTAAGCCTTGAGTCTCCAGCAATTAGGGTTTAGGGTTTAGGGTTTGCAGTTTAGGGTTTAGGGTTTAGGGTTTAGGGTTTAGGGTTTAGGATATGTGGCGGCTTGTCTTTGCTGCAGACTCCTTCGTGCTTCAACAAGAAAGATGCCCAGCGATTTTTGCTATGTACAGGAAGCTTCGAAGCAAAGGTGAGGTTGAGGGTTTAGGGTTTAGGGTTTAGGGTTTAGGGTTTAGGGTTTAGGGTTTAGGGTTTGGGCGTCTGCGTGCAGGCGTGGAGTTCCCTCAAGTCGACCGCTGGCAC